TGGTCCCCACTGGACCCTCATCATTTCCTTCACCTGCTCCCCCCACCGACCAAACTGTGCAGCCCTGCAACTGCATCCTGGCCCATCCTCACCCTTCTGCCCCCAACCCTCACCTCCTTGTACCCCCAATATGTTTTTCCCAATTAAAAAAAAGTTGTAAATAGAGATACCATTTGACCCAACAATTCCACTACTGGTAATATACCCTAATGAGACCATAACCACCATCCAAGCAGATATCTGCACACCCATGTTTATCATGGCTTTGTTCACAATAGCAAGGAGTTGGAAACAACCTTAGTGCCCATCAGCAAACCAATGGATAGAGAAGCTGTGGTATATTCACACAATGGAATACTACGCTGCATTGAAAAACAAGCAACTCATGCAATATTATTCAAAATGGGTGACCCTGGAGGACATTATGCTGAGTGAAATATCTCAGTAACAAAAAGACAAATACTGCATGGTGCCACTGTTGTAGAATGGGACTGACATCAGGGTTGGGGCAAGACTGAAAAAAACTGGATAAATTATGTATACTGCATTGAAACAGATGAGGGAGAGAACAATTTAAAAGCGATACATGATTACGTATTATGGTTATGACCGTAGTCCAGAATGAAGGTTGAACAGTGGAGTGTACTCAGGGCAGCAGGATTGCATACCAATGAAGGAATTTTTCTTTTACTTTTCAAAGAGAAGAGCAAACTGGGGGGGAGGGGTTGACAGGGAGAAAAATGCAACAATGAATGAATGGAAATCCAAAATCTCTGTAAATATTCATGAAAATAAAATAAATTGTTCCATCAAAATTCAAGTTCAAGAAAACATCCATCATAGATGAGAAGATACACAGGAAGAAGATTGCAGAGCTATCACCTTTGTCAAAGGTCAGCCGTCCGTAGGTGGATAAATAAATTAATTTCTGGATTCTCAATTCTGTTAGTTATTGCACACTAAATAACTAAAAAGAGTTCATGAAACACTGCATGAAATAGGTACATCTGGAGGATGTTGGGGTAAGCAAACAAAATTCATCACAGAAGGACCATCTTGTTTTAAGAACACCAGTATGACAAGTTAAGGAAAAGTTCATACACATAGAATTAACTTTGCATGATTCTCAGGGAGAGGGGAGTGAAAAACTAATAAAAGAATACATTGGGGGAAGGGAGAAGTATTGAATTCATTTTCTTAATCACAATTAATGTTATAAAAATGCATGAGTGAGCAAATGAAATTGTAATTGCAGTGTTATTTTTATGTGCCGTCAGGTCACCTGCAACTCTTCATGACCCTATGTACAACAGCTCTGAAGCATGCCCTGTCCTGAACCAGACTCACTGATTCTACTCCCATTGCCCCAATTACTGTATCAATACATCTCATCCAGGGTCTTTCTCTTCTGCACTGTCCCTCCACCCTTCCAAAAATGATGTCCTTCTCCAAGGATCAGTTCCTGCTGGCCACACGACCAAAGTATGTGAGACGGAGCTTTAAAATCCTAGACTCCAAGCAGAAACTTGGTTTCACCCTCTCCAAGACAGACCTCTTTGTTTTCTTGGTGGTCCATGATATATGTTTAATACTCTACTCCAGCACCACAACTCAGAGAAATCAATTCTGTCATCCTTAGTCATTGTCCAGCTCTCTGATGCATAGTAAGTAATTGTGAAGACCATGACCTGGATCAGGTGCACCTTTTAGTCTCTTGACTGACATTGTTGCTTCTCAGTACTCTGGAGAGGTCCTGGACAGTGGTTTTTCGCAATGTAGTTTGTCTTTTGAGTTCCTGACTACTGGTGCCAAGAGTATTGATTGTGGAGCCAAGCAAGCTGTAATTGTTAACAACCTCAATCTTTTCTCCATCTGTCATGGTGCTGCCAGTTGGCCCAGTGGTGAGAATCTTTGTTTCACAGAATCTCAGTTTCAGGAAGCAAAGGTTGTTGATAAGTCTTCTTCCAATCCTGATGCCACATTCTTCCTCATAAAGGCCAGCTTCAGAATGATCTGTTCTTCATATAGCTTGAAAAGGTATGAAGACAGGATGCATTGCTGGCACACTCCTTTCCTGATTTTGAACAATGCAGTATTTCCTTGCTCTGTTCTGAGTACTGCTTCTGGGTCCAAGTGTAGGTTTCGCATAAGCAAAATCAAGTGTTCTGGGATTCCCAATCTCCTCAAGGTTAGTCACAATTTTGTTGGCATTTACATTTTTTATTGAAACACATTCCTCTGGTTCTCTCTGCTTTCAGCCAAGATCCATCTGACATTGACAATAATGTCTCTAGTGTCACAACCTCTTTTAAACTCAGCTTGTATTTCTGATAGTTTTCTGTCAGTATACTTTTACAGTCCTTTCTAGATAATCTTCAGCAGGATTTTACTTGCATGTGATATTTGTACAATGTTATAAAACAGTATATATGAATGAATTAGAAACCAATATTATTTTAAACTTCAAGTGAAAAATAGAAATGAGAAGCAAGGAGAGAATGATGCAGTGCTCTAATCTGTCTCTTTGCTGATTCTAAAGCCAGAATGCACTCACTCCTGCCCTCCAAGAGATTTCTGTGGCCTGGGAGGAGGAGATTACCTGTTTTCTCCCAAAAGGCTGCAGGTGGATTTGAATCTGCAGATATGTGCAGTCTTTGGGTGAGCAGTGCAACTCCCTGCCATCTAGGCTTTTTGCTCTTGTGTGATCTTCTACTCTGGGAAGCTATCAGTAAGGAGCTGCACTGCCAGCCCAAAGACATGTTGTTCAAATCCACGAGCTGCTCCACAGGAAAAGGATGAACAGTCTTCTCCTGTGCAGTTTACAGCCTCTGAAAACCCACCAGAGGGCCAGCTATGAGTCAGTTCCAACTTAATGGCAAATAACAATAATCTTCAATAGCCCTACATCTAAATTTTTTTTTAAAAAGTTCAGATATAGTATTTGAAATGTGAGTTCCATTGTTAACGAGTTGTTTTTCTAATTCAAGTTTCATGTACTCCCAGAATGAGGGGTATTCACCAAGTGTCAGCACCAGAGCAGTGGTACTTTGGTCAGGGAAGTGTGTTTATTCTATATAGTTTGAATTCTTTCTGATAACCATGTGTTGCCTTAATAAAGCCTATCCAATATTACTTTTAAAAAGAAAAGAAAAATAATTGCAGAAATGTGATGGGCAGCTTTATTAGGAGACCTAGAAGTGGCCATTCTGCAGGCTCCGCCCTCAAGGGCCTTGCCTTCCCATGGGGCGATGCCTTCCTGCAGGCCACACTGCCCCAAGGGGCCTTCCCACAGGCCTTACTCCCCACTCTTCCCCCCCCTTGTCCCATAGGCCTAGCACCCAGCAAGTCACCCCCACCCCACCCTCTTCTCACCAGACACTGGCTCACTGCTGCTGCTGTCTCCCCAGGGATGTCAGAGTCGCCCCTGCTGCCGTCCTCCCTCATGCTGCTCAACACTGCCCATGAGTACCTGGGCCGGCGGTCTTGGTGCTGCAACTCAGATGGGACCCTGCTGCGCTTCTACGTGAGTGTCCCTGTGGTCTGGGTGGGAGCTGCCGCCACCATTGGGGCCCACCTTACTCCCTGGGCCGGCCACCCATGACAACAGAATCTGCAGGATAGGTTGTCCCCTTGAAGCTGAAGCTTGGGGTGGGCTCCGAACCTGGCCTTGACTTGCAGGTGGACCTAGCCATCGCTGTGTTAGGCACCTGTGGATCCTTTTCACAGTGGCTTAAGAGTCTGCAGTGGCATCAGCAGCAGCTGTCACCTTCCTGCCAAGCAGCACTAGTCACCTGGGCCGCTGATAGTCTTTGTGTAGTCCCTGCCTTCACCTCCTGTTGTTCCCCAGATCTCAGGGGTCCTCACATCAGCTGTGGCTGATGAGAAGTTGCTGCCTGCTGGGAACTGAGATGAATATCGTGAACTTGATTCCCCTCCTCCTTGCTGACCCTGTGCTAACACTGTGTCATCTGGGGCTTCTCTTGTGACACAGCAGCTGGGTTCAGTATCTGTGCTCTGGTTGACCTATTCACTGCCTGACCCTTTAAGGAAAGCTTAGGGCACTAGGCCCACTTGCTTTCTTATGTGCCTTTCACTGTACCCCTGCAGCCCTACTCCAGTATATCTGTCAGCCACGAGGATACTGGGTCATGACTTAGTGTGCTGTGTGCACCATCTTCCTGATCTACAGCTCTTACCAAAGTCGGAGTCTTGGTAGTTTTGTTCACTGGTGATCCACCTGTCTTGTGCTCATTTAATAGGTTGAACACACAAATCCCTACACTGAGCACCACTAAGTACAAACACTCCGCTGTGGAAAGCCCCAGGATGGACACTCATCTGCAAATCTGTCTGATCCAGGGCTGATTCGTGTCCTAAGCAATTTCTGGCCCCCACTGCAGACAGCAAAGAGTCCATCCCATGGGGGCCTGTGGGCTCTGAGTCCTCTACACCGCTGGTGTGAGGTGGGCTCCTCCTCCAGCACCCTTTCTGCTTCTGGAAGTGGAAGAGCCAGGTTGGATTGCATGGGAGTCAGCCACGCTCATCTGTTGCTCTCTCTCTTAGGAACAAGCTGTCTAATCCACTGAAAACAGTTACTCATACACTCTTAGTAATGTCTGTTGGCCCTTTGGTAAATGCTTATTACTAATGTACCATTTTTCTGTTGAATTTTTTGTCTTTTTCCTATTGATATGCCAAGTACTGTCTTCACATGCAGTTGTAAGGAGCATCCTTTGCTGAATATCCTATACTATTGTTTTCCCTAGAGATGGCATCTTGCACACCTCTAGTACAGTGTCACAGTGAAAAGGCAAGCATTGATCCCACCCACATGCTTAACTCAGATTTTACCTGCATCATGTATGTGTGTGTGCATTGTTGTTAGGTGCCATTGAGTAGAATATCATAACAACCCTATGAACATCAGATTGGAGTCCTGTCCTATCCTTTTCCATCCTCATAATCTTTGACACATTGATTCTATTGCTATAGTCACTGTGTCAGTCCATCTAGCTGAGGGTTTTCCTTTCTTCTGCCAACCCTCTACCATTCCAAGCATCATATCCCTCTCCAAGATACAGCCTCTCCTAGCAACATGCCAAAAGTAAATGAGACAAAGCTTCGCTGTCCTTGCCTCCAAAGAGCACTCTGGTTACCCAGTTTATTTGGCCTCTATCTTTTAACTTCATGCAAAATATTTGATGTTGTTGTTGTTATGTGCCATCGAGTCGCTTGTGACTCATTAACGACCCTATGTACAAGAGCCCTAAATGCCGTTCTATCCTGTGCCAACCTCGCCATCTCAAACACACTCATTGCCACCACTCCACTCACAGAATCGATCCATCTCATCGAGGGACTTCCTCTCCTGTTCCATCCCTCCACTCTGCCAAACATGATGTCCCTCTCTAAGGACCAGTCCCTCCTTGCAACATGCCCAAAGTATGTCAGATAAAGCCTCAGAATCCTTGACTATGAGGAGCATTCTGGCTTCACCAGGACAAACCTGTTTGTTCTCCTAGTAGTCCATGGTCTATTCAACACTCTTCTCCAGCACCACAGCTCAAAGGCATGAGTTCTCTTTCTATCATCCCTATCCACTGTCCAACTCTCCAATGCATAGCACGCAATTGCAAAGACTATAGCCTGGATCAGGCGCACCATAGTCTACAGCCTGACGTCGCTGCTCTTCAGTACTCTTGAGAGGTTCTTCACAGCTGACTTTCCCAATGCAATTCAACTCCTGATTTCCTGGCTGCTGTTACTAAGAGTGTTGACTGTCGAACCAAGTAAACTAAAACTGTTAACTATCACAATCTCTTTCACCATCCATACTGATTATAGAACTTCTAAAAATTGAATATCAATTTTATTGACTGATGACTTTTTTATTATTATTATTATTATTATAATTGTTATTTTTACGTGTACCGTCAAATCAGATCTGACTGGTACAGGAGGAGATTGCCCCCTCCTTCTCCAGCAGAGCATCTGGTGGATTTGAACCGCATACCTCTAAGATGACTGATGACTTTTGTACTTTTAAAAAAATCATGCAGGGGAGCTCTAGTGGCAAGAAGCTGCACTGCAGGTCCAGAGGTAAGTGGTTCAAATCCACCACATGCTCTACTGGAGAAGGAGGGGCAATTCCTCCTGTACCAGTCAGATCTGATTTAACGGTACACACAAAAAACAATAAAATAAAAAATTTCTTTTTAAAAAAAAATCATCCCCTCTCCCAAGATCATGATGATACCCTTCTATGTGTTAATCTGAAAATTCACTCTTGTTTTTCACGTGCAACTGTTAGTCTATTTCCATTGCATTCCCTGTGAGTGACTGAGGGCCTGTGTGTGTGTGTGTACACACTAATAAGATCTGACTGGTACAGGAGGAGATTATTCCTCCTTCTCCAGCAGAGCCTCTGGTAGATTTGAGCTGCACACCTCTGGGATTACAGTGCAGCTTCTTGCCACTAGGCCACCAGAGCTCGCCTGAGGGCCATTTTTTTAGTCTATCCTCCTGTTTTCTTTAAACTGACATCATTGCTTATTAGCAGTTTGGAGAGGTCTATAACAGCATATTTGCCCAGTGCAGCATGTATTTTGGTTGGGTTTTTTTTCCCCCTACTTTTAAAATTTTGATCTGATTTATTTATAAACTTTGAATACATTGTTTTTCACAAAAGATCCTTCTCATTTCCTTCACCCCACCCATCCATCAAATTGTGCACCCTATGATTAACATTTTACCCTCCCATCCTCACCTCTCTATTTCCGTCTTGGATCCTCATCCTCATTCTACAATAATGGTTTTATACAGTATTTGTCCTTGTGGGACTGAGTTAGTTCACTCAGCATAATGCTCTCCAGTCTCTCCCAAGTTAGATAGTAATTTACAAAATCATTGTTCCTCTGTGCTGCATAGTATTCCATTGTGTGAATGTACCACAACTTGTCAGTCCATTCTTTTGTGGTTGGACATCTGGGCTGTTTCCATGTTCTTGCAATGGTGAATAACACTGATATGAACATTGATGTACAGGTTTCTGTTTGAGCCTCAGTTCTAATTTTCTTGGGGTATCTTCCCTATAACAAAAGTTTATTGAATACTCCTGGGCCTCCACAAGAAAAAGACTGATAAACCAATTACAAAATGAGCAAAAGACATGGAACGAATTTTCACAGAGGAAGATATTCAGATGGCCAATAGACATACGAAGAAACGCTCCACATCACTGGCAATAAGAGAGCTGCAAATCAAAACTACAATGAAGTACCATCTCACCCCATTAGCTGTGGCAAAGTTTAACAGGACAGCAAGTAGTACATGTTTGAGAGGATGTGGTGAGATAGGAACTCTAATTTTACATTGTTGGTGGGATTGTACAATGGTACAACCACTCTGGAAGGCAGTTTGGTGCTTCCTCAAAATGCTGACCATGGAAATATGATCCAGCTTGAATATACTGCAACACATCTTTTGATGTCTTCACCGCTACCTCCATAGGTGTTGCTTATGGATCCAAGTAGATAGAATGAGACCAGTGATAGTTCTTCAGTCTTCTTGCCATCATACGGTTGCCTGTGTTAAATTATATTCTGTTCTGAAGGCTATGGTGTTTGATCTTCTCACTAAATGCTTCCAAGACCTTCTTGTACTCTACACACAAGATTGTGTCACCAACTTAATCCAGGTTAATGGCGAGGTTTCTTAGAATCGTGATGCAACATTCTTCTACGTAGTCCAGCTTTGTGGATTATATGCTCAGACTGAATAGATACTGAGCAGGGATACACCCCTGATGTGCACCTTTCCTGAGTTTTTTCCCCCTTTTCCTGATTTTAAAACACACAGTTCAGATAAATGCTGCTTGTTCTCTGAGCACATTCTTCCTAGAGCTTTTATGTACTGTTTGCTATGCCTGTGCTCTATTGTACATAGGGGTTTTTTTTAATTTTTTTATTTATTTTTTTTTTAATTTAGGTTGTTTATTTTTCATTTCAATGAACATCTACAGAGATTTTGGGATTCCATTCATTCATTGTTGCACCCTTCTCC